ACATGTTTACCGAAATGCTATATCTACTTTAGCCTCGTATTCTTAGAAAGTATGCGAAACTAAGTAATTAATGTAAATGGTATAATGTGGTAGTCGATATCGTGTTTCAAAAATTACTCTTATTTTACGGTTAATAAATATATTAAAGATAAACAAGCTCAAAGCGTATGCATCTGCAATGGTATAATACCTGAGGGAACGAGACATTTCGTCGAAGACTGCGTATTATTGCGACATATTAGAGTAAAACATAGTAACATAAATGAATGCTATTGCCGCAGGAAACAGTTGAGACTCACAAAGGATTTCATGAACTTTATAAATAGCAATAGAACAATATTGGGAATTTTGATTGGATGCTTTTAACTGTATTTGTGTTTTAATCTGTTTGGGTGTGTTGTGTTAACCATGAAGTCGATTATTATTGGCCAGAAGGGTCGCAGCAAACTCGTATATTACATTACATTACCTGAGGAAAAGAATAATGGTATTATATTTCTTAAATTCAATCTGTTTGTTATAAATTGCATATCTTATGTACTAGAAATTTACCTTCGGGGTATCGAATATTAGTAATTTGATATTTTAGCTAAAGATGCTATTAATTTATCCATTGAGATAGATATTAGTAATCCAAAGTAATAATAGAAATGCTTTTGTTATAACAAATTTTACATAAGGAAAATGAAGAATGCAGTTTATTTCGTAATTTAGCGGCATTAAAAGAATACACTGTGTTTTGAATCTTTTGTTTTTTAAAATTTTCATAACCTATAAGCATTTGTCTGTTCACGGTAAGTATACAAACTGCCTGTTTTGTTTCTGTCTGTAATACAGTAATCTGTGTGATTTTTCGAAAAATGTACCTTAGGTTATGGACCATTTAATTTTACTTTGTGTCAGTTTAATGGCCCTATATTACGAAAGATAGATGGGACTTGACCAGTTGAGCTTATGTATTATTAAGAAATCTAAACTGACGTTCTCTGTTTTGGTTTGCTTTATTAATGCGTGCAATGCTTAATTAACTGTTCCTTTTGTTTATTTACTATTTTATTTTTAACTTTCTCTTTTAAGCTCAGTGTTGTACATTTGTGGTGCGCGAAGAGTTTTCTGGTATTCAGAAAGAAAGAATACCTGTAAAGAGTAGCATATCCGACTTTCATTTATTTAATGCTGCCGAAGAATACCAAAAATCAATATGTCATATCCATTCAAATACATGACGCTTTGTTTCACATTTAAATTGTATGGGAACCGTATTCGTCCTACGTATGAAGTCTAATATTTTCAAGTTTTTGCCGTTTCCTTTAAAATGGGTTCAACAAATAAATATTTTCAAGTTCAAATAAATGAGGCTGATGTATAAGCAAAAGCATATTCTGTTCTTGCTTGGAAAAGCTCTTTTAAAAATGCAGGATCATGTTATATTTAAATGACTTTTTTATTTCAGATAATGTAGTAGGATGTACAAAGCGTGCTCTAGATTCTCAGTTATTAGCAAAACTTGGAAGAATAGAACTGACATAATGACTAATTCTGAGTAACGTGAGATAATGACTAATTCTGAGTAATGTAAAGACTGGAGAAGGAAGGTGATAGTCCACTTTATCTATCCTGAGAGGTTCGACAGGAATGACATAGAATCTGTCGGAAAGAACTGTTTAAAGATGCTCGTATATCTTAAGATTTTCGAATATTTACTGTTGCAAGAATTGGGATAACGTATTTATTTTAGAAGCAATTACTTCCAATTTTTACAGCTGACTACATAATATAGCTTCTTTGGGAACTAGTCACCAGAAAATTCGAAGTTGCATCCGAGAGAGGAAGGAAAATTCAGGTTATTAGGAAGCATCTGGTGGATTTTCAGTGATCTGGAGGTCTATGGCGACGCGAAAAAGATTCAAGGTTGACCTGAACGTAAGATTAAAGACAACAATTTCATTCCAAATATGCAGCTTATTGACAATGATCCTTCCATTTCAATATGCGACACTGCTCGACATCTCATCCATTATGGCAAACATTTATGCCGCAAGAGTTTCATAATGACACAGGAAGACTCTGCATCGGCCCGCATGACCAAGTAAACTCATAAGTGGTTGAATATTAATGTTTTAATCATGGTATCCCCGGTATGTGGTTTCTGAAATTCAGCTGAGAGCAATGCCTTTGAATATTATGCATGAGGATAGGCTGAAGGGATCACTAATAAGAGAGCGTATAACAATATGAGTGAGCTAAGGAATAAAATCTGCAGATAATCTAAGATTTATCTCCTGAGGTAATGAAATGGACCAGGTCTAATTTAGGAGATCATTCGAGACTGTGATGTTTGCTGGAGATATCCTCACTGAACATTCCATCATAAAGTTTTACTTTCTTTCTGGAATTTTTATTAAACGTTTAAGCTTTGAAATTTTAAAGATGCTTTCCTTCATACATTTTCTGAGCCAGTTCTGTTGGCTCATCCTATATTCTATGATTTGTATAGGATATTTTAATTAGCGAACCTGAAATTAAAATGTATGAAAGATCCAATACATTAGACTTAATAAGTTAAGAGATTTATATTTATTACGTAACAGATGTTGCTGTATAAATATTTGATTTGTATTTTTCTTCTTATTTGAAAAGAAGATAAAATTTTGAATGTAGACATAATAAATTAAATATAAAGTTTCTTTCCTACCTTCTGATTAACTGGTGAAATAAACATCGCGATACAGTTGGCGTTAATTTAGCAAACCAAATATGATAGTGCTCCAAGATTAAGGAATTAATAGTAGTAAAGTATACCGTTTTGAATATAAATCTTTTCTATGCTTTATATAATACGCTGGGTTTTTTATATTAAATAACTAGTTATTTTATATTTTGGATCTGTACCCTAACTTCTCCCTTTCCGTTTGCCTAACAGAATGCAAATTACTTCGAGTGTATTTAAGGTTAAAGTTTTGAGATTGTAAGACAGTGTTCTGCCCTCGTAGCCACGTTACTAGGTTGCTGTTTTAGATAAGCGTTCTTGTCTTCGGTTTTGCATTATAATTGCCGATATTTGAATTCCACGCCGGTTAAATTTTGAGCCAAATTCACATTAGATTCATTGTGTTGCATTCGGCTACTAGTTTATTTGAATTTGAATTTTGCGTTTGACTTATAGTTAAATTACGTTATCTCGACACAAGTCGTTGGCTGAATTGTACCCACGAGGTGTGCCTTTAGTTTTTATTTAATTTTAATAAAGATTCTTTTACACATGTAGAGTCATTAGGATTTTTTTTATGCTTGAGACGTTACAAATGTGTAATTCTCTCGCCGGGACTCGTAACTGGAACTCTCGAATACGCTCTGAGAGTGCTACCGTTAAACCACGAAGGGAGAAAGAAGAAAATAGAAGAAAATGGAAGGAGGAAGAAAATACCTTACCCTGGAAGAAGGGAGAAAATACCTTACACAACCTTCTCAATTTTCAGTTGTTATAGCGATTGTTATTCGCTGCCAGTCTATCTAAAGTTTTGTTAGCAGTTTATAATCTGAATTTAGAAAAAAACTAGTTACAAGCATTTGTTTTTATATTACTTTTAATTTTATTCACTTAAAGCCTCTTTGAATATGCGAAGAAAATTATATGAAAACAGTTTAAACGCTATAAATGGAATAGTTTATAAACGTAAAGTGCTCTATTTTATACAGTGTTTATAGAATTGTGCAAAGGCCGACCTTCTGGCCTGTTCCTTCCCTGCCGATGCTGACGTGCTTTCTTCGTCAACTGCTGCTTGTTTGCCATGCAAAATGTTTTGTGAGACTGAATCGAATCAACTTGCAAGTGAAGCTGATTCGATTCGTATAAGATTACTGTTGTTATGCTTTCTACCGTCTAGTAAGATAGACATGTATTCACTGATACGTTCTTGTTCATCTACCTTGTGATTCCTCATTTAAGTTCAGTGTTCTCGTGTTTTTTTTCTTTGGTTAAAAAATAACTTTCATTACTGCTTATGCTGATCGATTACTAAAACTTCTCGTGGTTCAGTTTTCTCAGAACTTTTATTTTGGACAGATGGACAATGATTTCCTTGTGCCGATGAGTACAGCAGTATTTTCGCAATAATCGTGAAGTCTGTAATACAGTTTTGGTGTGAAATGTTTAAGTACCAGCGTGTTCATTTTTGTTTGTCTGGCTAATACCATGAGTTAAATTTTCATTATTATTTGTTCCAAAATAGCGATGCTGAAAAATAACAAATTACTCACTTATGATATTTTTGGTTCTCGTCATTCTGGGTAAGTTTTTAATTATATGTTTTCTTTCTAGATTTCTCATTTATATGTATCTATGGGTTATTGCGGATACAACGTAATCTTAGAATTAATTGACGATTTAATTATTTAAATTATTTAACATTTTGCACACATTACACACATTTTCTCTACATTTGGGGCCGTTAACATCCACTTTATAGCAAGAATAAGATTTAATTCATAAAATATTCACAATACTTTAATAAATTAAGAACATAAAAGTCCACATCGGAAAAAGGGGCTTTTAAAAATTTAATAAACCAATATATTGATTCGTTTTCTTGCCTACTGAAAACGAATTCCAGATGTTAAGTATAAAGTTCGAGTAGCTGCGTTTATTAAATGTGTAAGGTCGTTATCTTAAATACCCAGTTATATTGATTTCGGTCTTTCGGTGCTGTTATAACTTCTCCTTTCCGAATTCTTCACCGCAAACTAAATAGATAATTCAACCGATGGTTTTTGGACCTCGAGAGAGAGAGAAAGAGTTTCAGGCAAATTCGTGCTACGTGGCAAGTTTCTGCTAGTTCTATCAGAAGATTTTACTTAGATAGTTTTCATAATACTTAGATATATTGCTTGAAACTATTAACACAATTTAATTATTTTCATTACCCGAGCTTTATGACCATTTGAGTGCCAAATGATGTCATAAGGGATTAATCTCGAGCAACATGTATTAGGAAACTTACAGGGTCCTCAACTGGGTGCAGTCTTGCAACAGATTATCTTCTATTTCTTCAAGCTCTCTAGCATCTTCAATATAACTAGAAAAGGAAAAAAGAACGTCATTATGTTTTCAACACGTTTCGCTTATATTTTCATTATTAAAAGCATAGAACAATTATTATTTAACAATCATTTCTACTGGAAACATTTACATAAGACTTATAAACTTTTCAGCATAAAATGAATGAATACGAAAATTATTTTGGTACTACTGTTTTTGACGAATTAAAAAGTGTGAAGTTTTAAGGATATTGAACGATATCATATATGTATTAAACACATAGGATAATTTTGTTCATATACGATATTTTAAATAATACGCTGTGATTTTGGGAACATGCATATTTTTTTCCTTCGTATCAAAAAACTAAGCTGATCAATAATACAGTGGCCAACAAAAGATTATTTTGATTAAAATTTATGAAATGTAATTGCCCTGAACTAGATTTTTCTTCTAAACATAAAGATGATATTCACTTTTCCCTATTGTGTACAGTTTCTTTGAAGCAAGTAATACGAGTGTTAATGAATGTGCAGAATTTCCTATACATTATATTATTAAAATGCAAGAAAAGCTTTAATCGCCCTTAAATTTACAATTATATGTCTTAACATATATATGCCATTCTTTCATACGGTGTCTAATATTTTTGGCTCTTAAAAAGATTTTAAGTGAGATTTTCCATCATATCTTTATTCAGAAGAACTGAAATGCGACATCCAGCAACCGTTTTCTTTCATTTGAGGTGCATCCTTGTTAGCATTCCTTCATCACCTTCATGTTTAAGGAAATGTTTTCTCTGCTCATCACGAACAACGTTAAGTGACTGAGGCAAAAATAGAATTTTCCCTCCCACTTCCCAGATAAGGGTTGTTCAAGAATTTTCATAGTTTGCCAAGCACATCTATCGGTCATTTAGTTATGTCATCACCGAAAACGATACCCATATTTCTCGTAAGAAGTAAATCGATATTATACCCGAGAGAAGAAAAAACAGATAGGTACAAATATCCATGTCCTCTCCAGACCCGAACCCATGCTTATCGCTATAAAAATCTGCGCCAATAACCACCATAATGGCGAGTTGGCAAAATGCGAAACAGAGTAAAAAACATCAAACTTGGTTAAATATGTGAAAGATATCAAGCAGTTCAAAACCGTCAAACGGTTTTTTCCTCTGTAAAAGTATTTTCACTGCTTTGTTAAATTTAAAGAATGAAAGAAACTTCACAGTCACTTGAATGTTAAGATACCTTAGTGTCCTCTGTTGCTTGCATCAGGTTTCTAACTTTATGAACTCTAACTTAAATGGCACAATTTAGAAAAAAAAAGTATCACTAACCATCATACTACAAAATAACAGTGGAGGTTTATTAATGAATTAATTAATTCATTTAAAAACAACGATTATGTTTTTGAATTTCGTACTGGTATGAGAAGAATGGGATATTATTACAGGAAACCAAATAACTTTGTTTAACCATTAGGAAAATATTTTTGCATTCTACGGGTTTTGTGTATTTGGAGTAACTGATGATTGCACTTAATGAAGAATCAAAATACAATCTATTCTCCATTATTACACAGGACAGTTCCAAAGAAACGTTTACTGTCGTCGAAAAATTACGATTAACTATACTGAGACAATCAGCAGCACAGCCTTCAGGCTATAAAGGCAAAGACAGTTTCAGGGCAAAGCACTAATGTACAGATCCCGAGTCAGTTGATCGTTCTCAAGCTTATCTATGAACTCAAGATGCTCCTACTCCCACGTACAGTTTTAAGCTACATTGGAGAATATTCCCCAGAACTAAGAATATGAACCTACTAAGAATACGTTCTAGAATGTTCTCCCTCCGTCTATGGCATATCATCAATTTTGTCGCCAAATGGGCAATTTTGCGCCAAATCTAAAAATACTTTTTCTAGTGTTTGCAAAAATGTATAATATCACTGCTAAATGTTTATAAAATCAATTCATGTATCCAAGAATACTGGCGTACGGTTAAAGTATTTAGCGTTTTCTTCTGCTTTCCAAATTTAACCTTCAGTTTTCGTATTAACTTTCAATACTCAGTCTGATACATTTAAAGCTGCTTCGATATCATTGTTTTCATCCAAATCAATTAATATTTTAGCTTTTTTACGAAATTTTATACTAACACAGATTTTTCAGTCGTTCTATTCATCGGGTTTATAAATTATCTGTAATTTTAAATCGGAACAACGATTAAATAATAATCATGATAGTGTTGTTAATTGACCATTTTGTAATCTAGGCAAAACTAAGGGAATATATGTATACGTTCTTTATAAGCCTCATCACTCAGTACATAAGCTTATAAATTTTGTAAGAAACGTATTCGTAATATTCGCTGATGAGACAATGCTGAAATAGCTACAAATGTATCACGTTCTTATTCAATGAAAATTTAGTGCGGCCAATTTAAGAGAACAATTGCTTGACGATGCATAATCATGGCATGTTTACATTTGAGACTATGAACAATCCACTAGCGTAGAATGTTGCTGAAGCGCAAAGTCTTAAATAAAGATGCATATATTATATTCTTTTTTGCTGTCTGTTGAATTTATATTTTTGTTACACATGCTCTAGAAGCAGATTGTGTCTGATATTTCGACCGAATTATGTTTATTAATGTAGTTTTAATTAATCACTTTTAAATCTCTGTCTGTATTTTATAAATTATTAATTTCAACATCTATTATTAAATCTACAGTCTCTTCTAATGACGAATGCTATCAGATTTCCGGATGACAGTTTCCATAAAACGTTCAGGAGTGATCAAGATTGGATCTAAAATAACGGATACAAAGTGTTGCAGTTTGCAATAGCCCACAACCGTTAGAACCGAATGCAAAAATTGAAGCTCACACCCACAATATTTGCAGTCGTGTTTTCTGTCGTTGTGTGATAAGAAGCGCTCGTTAGTGGGAACCAAGCGTGTCGTACGGGAAGCACTGTTGTTTGAGTAATTTGATACAAAACATGGACATATTGTTAGAAAATAGTATTATGAATTATAAATAGCATGGGATCTAAAAATTATAAAAAAAATAACCATTCATTCACTTGAAAAGTGTAAGCATTAGCGTAATGCCAAAAGAAATGCACAGAAAGGCATGGGAATTTAAAATAAAGAATAAATTTAATTCTGAATAATTATTTTTTTACACCAGCAGATGCTGATTCTAATGTACCAGAAGATTTACATGGTGTAGCATGGTTCACAACGCGACAAATGTTCAGTATTACGTCATGAGAATGGCTCTCACACCTGCCACGAAACTCTGTGCAAAGTCAAGAGGCTTCAGTTGTAATTCTTGTTTCATGATGGAGAATAATTTCTCTCAACAGGGTCAATTACATCTGCCGACATATGTATATCTAAAGATCTACTTAGAGTAAAAAATGTAAGAGAACGGTATTTTTCACTGTTAAAAACAATTCAATATTTCTTTGAACATTTCTGTGTACATTCTCTAGTACATGCTTTTCGAATTATCGGATTTTTACTTTTCTGTTATTTTCGATCATCCAGAACATTGTACGATTAACCAAATGGCTTGTAATCTACATGATATGACACAAATATTAACGACTGGGTTGATATGGAAGTATCCAAAAGATAACCATTCTTTCAACGTGCGCTGTAGACAGCGTTGTATCATAGTTGTTCATCATGCCGGGGCGACAAAACTACTTAGCAGAAATTGCTTGAAAATGTGCAAGACAAATGACTAAAACTGCTGCAGTTTCAGAGACAGAAGGTACAATGGATTACAAATGGCACGAATTCGCCATAATAGGCATATAGAATTCCAGAAAGCTCATAATATCGTACTCGTTGACAATAGAATGACTCAGCATTGGACAATATATTACGCTTGCTAATCTCTGCAGATATTTCGAATGGGCGCACCACTTTTGCTTTATTCTGAAGGTTGCGTTGTGATTGTGTCATGCCATATTAACACCTGTTGTTTTGCTTACATGCTTGATAACCCCCAAGCAACTCGCGCCATTTATGATGAGGAATTTCAAATTAGTTTTTCTTGTAAGAAATTTTATGTAAGTTTGAATAAAATTCATGTTATTTCAGATCATATGTCTGGAAAATGACAGTTGTCAATGAGACATTTCTACAGGTCGAATATCACTCACGTGTCTGTTAGAAATTTAGAAGCAAAATGTAATTATTTCATCTTTTCACAGGTCATTAAAATATATTTATTAACTCGAATTAATATCGCGTGCCAAACAATCATTTTCTCCATTATAAACCCTGGATATTTCAATTTTAAACTTAAAATATCCCTGCGATTTCTCAGCTCTATGAATTATAAAGTCTAGTTACAGGAAACTGTATTAACAATAACTTTTAAACTAATTATCCTAGAATACTTGAATAGTTTACGCGTCTGGACATAAGCCTTGTTTACAGTCTGGTCAAGAATCTTTGAAATGTGATAGTTCTACACGCGTGCAGAATTACTTCATTAGCGCTAAATTTATACAGTTAAATCGCATCATCAGTCGTTCTAAAATATAAATTTTCTGGAACAGTAGTAAAAAAATAGCTTTAAAGAAACTGAGAATTATGTTTTTTAGAAAATTAATATGTATGCTAACTAAGCATGGATATGTTAGTTTCCTTGAGCTTTACATTTAAAAGCAATTAAGTCATGCATACGGAGCAGAATTTAAAATAGCCCATATAAACTAACACTTATGTAACAGTAACATCTAATCACTGAAATTTAATTGGCATAATTATGCTCGTGCTTTGAACACTGTGAAATAGCTCTTAAGGAGTTATTGACTAATGAACTGGCATCTCTTTTCTAAAAACCCGTTTACTTTTCCTGAATTAGTATTTTAAAGAAATTTCAACGAAAATTGCATTAGTCATTGTAATTTAACGAAAGTAATTGCATCATAAGTTTGGATTAAGTCATTTCTATTTAAAAGCCAGGTAATTAGGAATTATAATGGTATTTAACAACAAACATCAA